AGGAAGGAAGGAAGGAAGGAAGGAAGGAAGGAAGGAAGGAAGGAAGGAAGGAAGGAAGGAAGGAAGGAAGGAAGGAAGGAAGGAAGGGAAAGGAAAGGAAGACAAGAAAAAATTGGAGGAAGAAAATATGACAGGAAGGAAGGGAAGGGATAGGGGGAAAAGGAAGAGGGAATGAAAGAAAAGGAAAATAAGACAGGAAAGAAGGGAAAGGAAAGGAAGACAGGAAAGCAAGGAAGGAAGGAGAATGGAAGGAAGGATGAAAAAGAAAGCAAGACAGGGAAGAAAGGGAGAAGGAAGGAAAGATAACATGGAGGAAGAAGGGAAAATAAAGGAAAAGAAAAGGGAGGAAGGATAAAGGATTAAAAAAAATAGGAAAGGAAGACAGAAAAGAAAGGAAGAGTAATGGAAGGAAGGATGAAAGGGAAAGGAAAGGAAGACTGGAATGAAAGGAAGGAAGAAAAGGAAGACATGAAAAGAACCTAGAAAGAAAAGGATGACATGAAAAGAACCTAGAAAGGAATGGAAGTAAGACAGGGAAGAAAGGGAGAAGGAAGGAAAGATAACATGGAGGAAGAAGGGAAAATAAAGGAAAAGAAAAGGGAGGAAGGATAAAGGATTAAAAAAAATAGGAAAGGAAGACAGAAAAGAAAGGAAGAGTAATGGAAGGAAGGATGAAAGGGAAAGGAAAGGAAGACTGGAATGAAAGGAAGGAAGAAAAGGAAGACATGAAAAGAACCTAGAAAGAAAAGGATGACATGAAAAGAACCTAGAAAGAAAAGGATGACATGAAAAGAACCTAGAAAGGAATGGAAGACAGGGAAAGAAAGAAAGAAAGAAAGAAAGAAAGAAAGAAAGAAAGAAAGAACAAGAAGAGTTGGAGCTTTAGACTCCTTCTCAAAGACATTCTGTGCCTTCCCGAAGTTCATATTAGGACGGAGCTATAAGGAGTTAACAGAGACTCTTGTTTCTGAAGTTGACAGAGAGTCAAGCACTGTGGGCTCTGTGATGCTCCCAATCCACATAGGAGAGCTCTTTTTATAGAAGACTTTCTTATCTGATGCTTTCCTGTTTAGAGAAATTAATCGCCTCTTAGGTGTGAGTTCAATTTGGTCCTATGGGGGCCCAAAACATTAACAGCAAAGCAATGGTTTGACTTCATGTGTGATAAGGAGACATTGAAAGCCCATGAACAGCCCTTTGAGTCCTCTCTTATCTGATCCAATCGGCTTTCAGGAAGACATTGGCTCCTTGGGCTTTCCGTATCAAAGGCATTTGTTATGCGCTAATGTATTTTTTTTTTCCCAGACAGATTAGAGTCTTGAGAGCCATCTACGTGGTGTTGGGAGGTGAATGGGGTATTATTTTTTACTTCTACAGCCTAATTCAATATTACATTACAAGAACATTAAAGGATAGAGGTAGATATGAGGAACTTTAAGCTATTTGAAAATGTTAAACTTTTGTTGTCCTGGGCAGAAATTTTGCTTCATTCCTTGTCCCATGGCGCAACTGGAAATTTCCCAAAAATGAAGAGACTGCTTGGCCTGTGGTGTAGTTAGCATTCTAAGTGGCCAACTAAGCATTCTCCTCGCCCCATTACCCCTAGGGATTACTTGGGAGGCAAAGTCTATTATGTGGAAAAAAAAATAAGTACGTGGGGAGGCCAATAAGTTCTTACCCTCATCATGATCTAGATGTGCTGGTTTATAGGTGGATATCTTAGTAATATGCATGGCAATTTTTGTTTATGTAGGTCGTGGTGAATTATAGTTAGAGCCAAGAGAAATGGAGTAGGTGTCATGCCGGACAAAGTTGAATACCGAGCCGCGTGTTGCTGCTAGCTGACAATGCGCCTGCACATCGAGCTGCAGAAACTGTCACTTTTGTTCGCGATTGAGGCTATGAATCTCTGCCCCATCCACCTTACTCACCTGACCCGGCACCTTCGGACTTCTTCCTGCTTCCAAATCTGAAGAAACATTTACGGGGAAGACGTTTCCACAATAATGAGGCAATCATTACTGAAGCTGATAGCTGGTTTTCCTCCAAATCTGCATACTTCTACGCAGATGGTATTAAAGGTCTGTTCCACAGATGTGAAAAGTGTGTAACCATGGGAGGTGGATATGTAGAGAAGGAAGAGTCAGTGGACTCAATTTCAGATCCCTAGCACATCTGGATCATGGTGAAGGAAAGAACTTATTGGCTTCCCCTCGTAATAAAATATAAGCAGATCAAACTTCAGCTTCAAAACTAAGTAAAATGTTTATTTGTAGATAGGGATAACATATGCAGTGGTGCTGTTTTTACCACCCTTCCTATATTGTATTACTGTATTACCCAATCTCACTCTGTTTACCTTGTACAGCCCTAAAAAATATTCTCAGCTCCCATCATGCAACTATTGAGTCTCAGCTGTGCTCCTATTCGCTGTTCTCTGAACTAATTAAATGAATTTAAGGAAAACGTTGAAATGTAACTTATAGAGAGATATAGAAAATTAGATGAAATATTCATAAGGTTTTTATTTTCAGTGAGAAAAAGGAGTGGGGTGGTGGTGGTGATAGGGGGTGGGGGGGGGTTAAATTTGTCATCTGTCAGCAAAATTAATAATATAAGCAGATATTGGCAAAAAAAATAGTATATAAAATGAAAACACATCTTGAAATGATTTCATTTTGACAGCGAGTACAACTATCTGACAAGGAATAATTCAGAGATGAACACTCAGTCTCAATAAAATCTTGTAAACCCGAGTCAGAAGAATTCGGTTTGCCAGCTCTAGGAATTGTGAGAACGGCACAACATTTTGTGGCGTGGTCCCATGGGGATGTGCCGTCTAAATAATGCAGATTATCAAATATTGAATTTATCTCTGGACCCGTCTATTCCTTCCTCTTGCATTTTTCATCGAACGCTCAGGCTGGATTTTGATGGACAGATACGAGCAAGATAATGTTGTTGCTTGATAGAGGAGGTCTTTGTGGTCATCATATAGTGAAGCTTCACCAATGGTGGAGACCTGTTTGCACCACAGTTCATCAGTGTTGCCTATGTAATGGCTTCCTCCTGGGTGGCCGGTTGAAGGTCTCCACCAAGTTTGAAAGCGCTTTCCTGCCTTTTTGACCCTTGTGTCCCATTGGGGAGATGTCCTTTCTGTCATGGACAGAGGTCCATATCCCCTGAGAGGAGGACTGCCCAGATGATGCAGGAGGTTACTGGATGATACATGGGGACACAGGTGTCCTTGAGGCATTAGTGCACCGATGGCACCAGGCACATTATGGTGAACTTGGAGATGCAGGGGTATACACAGTGCACTTGGAGTCACTGGATGACACAGAGTGGTCTGGAGTGCACTTGTAGTCACAGGCCACACAGGAGTGCATTAGGATCACTAGATAACACAGGATGCTTCGGAGCAATGGAACTCACAGGGGCACACT